TACCACAGCGGGGGCAGCAGCGGCTACGAGAGCATGATGCGCGACAGCGAGGCCACGGGCAGTGCGTCCTCTGCCCAGGACTCCATGAGCGAGAACAGCAGCTCCATGGGCGGGCGGTGCCGGAGCCTCAAGACCCCAAAGAAACGCTCCAATTCAGGTAGGCACCTGGGCCCAGTGTGCAGGGGGCCACGGGGGCACAGGGGCAATGGGAGGTGCAGGGCCGGACCCCATGCTGCCTGCCCTGCGGGTGGTGAGGGCGCCCAGGCCGGTGGCACCGACACCTGGTCTCTTCTTCCCCAAGCCTGTCCCCCGCCGGCCGCGCCCGGGACAGCATGGAGGGTTCACTGTGAATCAGCCCGCTGTTGGGGCGTGACGAGGCCTCAAGGCTGTGACTGCCCCTTGGTCAGCAGCCTGGTGAAAGGCGGGAGCTGGGGCAACCAGCGGTGCCCCCCACACTCACCCCTGTGGGCACAGGCTGCCTGTCCCTCCTTGGCTCCCCCACCCAGCGCCCAGGCCCAGGAATGTGGCTGCTGGAGCCCCAGGGAGCAGTCAGAGCAGCTGCTCTCTGACCTGTGGCTGCAGAAGCTGATGTGGGGCTGGTGGCCCCGAGTCTCTGGGACTGGGTGAGTCACTGCCATTGAACGTGCAGTCCCGGTGGTCAGAGCCCTGCGTGACGTTGGTCATGTGGCCGTGGGTGTGGGCACCGAGTGTGGGAGATGCTTTGTGCTCTTACTGGCCTAATGTGGTGGCGTGGCTCATGCTCCGTGCGATCACTCAGACAGACTCCTCTGTCCTCTTACCTCTGACGTCTGTGGTTCCTTCCCTCGCTGGGGCCTCATGCTTTTAGATTCGTGTCTTCCTAGCCCCACACCCGAGTCAGAGGGAAGATGGGGGGCGAGCTGAGGAGGGGGCTCTCGGGGCCCGGACCGACGAGCGTTCCCCGGTGCTGTGAGGCCTCGCGTCCAGGCTCCGTGTTCCCGACATTTGAATAAGAGGCCAAGTTTTCAGACTCCGTGTGGCTCTTCTGTCCGGACTCTGATGTTGAACATGTCAGACTTCTCCCAGGGCCGCGTGCTGCGGAGGAGAGAGCGGCTGTGAGCGGTCAGGGCCCCTCCGTGTGTGTGGTCAGCCGCCAGGGCTGCGGGGACTCAGTCCCTGTTGGGGTGCGGGCTTTCTCAGGTCAGATCTGGGCCATTCCAGGCAGCAACAGCTCGCGCAGTTAGGGATCAGCCTGCACGCCTTCCCTACCTGCCCTCTGTGCCGGGCGCGGGCTGGCTGACGAGCAGGGAGGGACGGAGGAGGAGGAACCCCGCGGCAGGAGGCTGGTTCAGGCTGTGGCCGGGCCCCACGCCGTTGGCGGCTAAGCTGCTTCCCTTGACCTTCTGGCAACTGGAAGGCAGTGGTCGTTGGCAGAGACCGAGGTGTGCAGCGGGGGTGGCGCGTGCAGGACACAGACCCAGGCCTGTGGTCAGTGCTCTCCCAGGAGGGTGCAGCCTGTGGCCCGGGCCAATCCTCTGGCACTCGCAGTTCCTGGGGTCCCTGCCCCCCAACACACACCCCCTACACTAGGCTCCCAGTACCTGTGGGGGAGGCGAGAGGGCAGGGAGGCCCCGCAGTGGTTGGTGGGTGACGCCAGTTCGTTCTCAGAATGGATTTACTGGTAACCGAATCCGAACTGCTCAGGAAGTCCAAGATACCCACACACTAGTGCCCTTTACGTTCAGTGTTATTTGGTACTAGAGGCCTGGTGCACGAGATTCGTGCACTCGGGGTGGGGGGGTCCCTTAGCCTGCCTGCACCCTCTCGCAGTCCAGGAGCCCGAGGGCATCCTTGGCGCTGCCTGGCTTCTGGCTGAGTGGTGCTCCCCCTGTGAGAGCACACTGACCATCGGGAGGCGTCTCCTGTGTTGAGCGTCTGCCCCCTGGTGGTCAGTGTGCGTCATAGCGACCGGTCATTCCGCAGTTTGGTCAATTTGCATATTTGCCTTTTATTATACAGGAGAGGGTTAGTTTCAGGTGATTAGACATTTACATCACTTACGAAGTGGTCCCCCTATATTCCAGTGCCACCTGGCAGCGCACATGGTTCTTGCTGTGTGATTGCCTGTGAGTGACTGTTCCCCACCTGCACTTGGCCTCCCTGGGCTGTTGTGTCACTGCACTTGCACTTCTAGCTCCTGCCCCGATGTTATCATCATCATTAGTGTCAGCCCAGGTGCCTGGCGGGGCTGTGATGAGGTGCATGTGGGTGTGTGCGCGCATCTCAGGTGGGACTGGAGGTGGTTCTACGGTGAGGCAGGCTCCCTGAGCCTCGGGAGGTAAAGCCCAGCCCGTCTGAGGGGGTCAGTGCTGAGGGGCTCAGTGAGGGGCGTTGGGGTGTTTCAGACTCACCTCTGCCACAGGTTCCAGGCCCTGGCACGGCCCCACCGCGTGCATCACAGAGAATCTGTTTAAAAGATGGAAATTCACAAGATGAACTTTGGGCTCAACCCCTCCAGGTTCCCAGAGACGGAGGCTCATCCCCGCGCTGTCCCTGGACACGCCCTCGCCCG